AGTTAAATTTGATTGAATGAAATTAAAATATTGACTTTGTCACACATTAAGCGCAGAATCAGTAATTGCCATTCGGCATATTAATGAACTTTATTGTCTGTTTGTTGAAATCGGAAATATTTACGAATATAATTTCATTATCTGTAAAACGAATAAACCGTAATGTTTTTAATTAATTAATTTCACAATTCCCTTTGTCACTGTTAAATTCGGGGTTACGCTTTAGTTAAAATTCCATTCTATATAATTAAAACGAATATACAGTGAAATGATTACAAACCACGTGATCACCGGACTTAGGCAACCCAACAGTTCACACCTGTACTGTCAACTAAAAATGTTTAAATCTTAGCGTCATCAACATTAGTGATTCGTTTACAATGAACAATGACCAACTGTTATGTCTACGATTGAGATAATGCCATATCTGATTAAAAATGTAACTGGTATAATACCTGTTGAAAAATTGAAACGGTAAATACCAGCGTTTTAATAAACACTTTTTGAAATTTAAAAAAATTGGGAAGGTAAATATTTTTTTAGGCGTAAAGAAAAATAAAACAACCCCTCATTCCGAAAATAAATTCGGCGGATGGTGAAATACAAATTACCCAATTCTACAGAGATTCGTGTGTCTGTAGCTATTTAATTAAAGATATAAATAGAGGCAAATGCAAACAAACAACTGTGTTTATCTTAGCTTTGCTCCGTCAACGTTTATCGCCTCCTTTGTGTGCGTTCGAGGGTAATGTAAATAACTTTTTTTTAAAAGTCCTTGACGGAGTTCAAACCAAGCGTAAACGCGCGCCCCTGCGGAAGATCGAGTTATAGGCAAATGAAATAAAAGGAAATCCAATATTCTTAAGACATTCTTCTGTCTGCAAAAGACTGAAAAAGCGAACTTTGTTACGATGAGGTTTTTTTATAGAAAAGTATAGGTTTTGAGGTTAGAAAACATGCGACACATACACATCACCAGCAACATCTAGCGTGTTGAGATACAGATGTAATATACGATTTTTTCGCGTATTTGGACAAAAAACTGCCAATATCTCAATGAAGATGCATTTTTTTCGAAAACAGTTTCAAATAAAAGTTGTTCAAAATTAAATTTCCTACAAAATTCCTCCCATGAGAAATTTTCCCAATAGTTCTGTAGCTCTTGTATATTTTTTAAATGAAGTGCAAATTATGTGAAAATTAATGTTTTGGAGACAAAATAATTGTCAATTCATTAAATAACAAAAGTGAATTAGAGAAAAGAAAATTGCGGAAAATTCTTGGAAAATCTTATAGTTTTCCGAGCATGTATATTTATGAGCATCAAACGTATCATAACGTACTAATTAATTGTGCTTTGTAATATTTTCCAGAAAAATCTCTTTTTCTTTGATTTTTTTACTTTGATTATTAAGAAATAAAAATATGTAATATAATGAAATTGAAAATTAAAATTTGTTGGCAGTAGGAAAGGAATTTTCTGGAGCTGCAAAGATATAGTTTATTATTTTAAAGAAAATTGTATGGACTTCCATACTAGTTGTCTTATGTAAGTAAAGCTGCTTCATCGCTGCTGCAAAAAAATTTAAAAAAAAAACTGATTTTTCTCGAAAATATTAAAAAGCGCATAATTAATTCGTTATATACACCCTCGAAAACCTATAAAATGATACGTTCGATGATCATAAATATTCAAACATCAGGAAACTTTATAAGATTTTCCAAGAATTTTCCACAATTTTCTTTTCTCTAATTCACTTTTATTAAAAAATAAATTGACCATTATTTTGGCTCAAAAAAATTTCACATAGTCTACCTCATTTGAAAAATGTACGGGAAAACTATTATTGGGAAAATCGAAATTTTTCATAGAAGGAATTTTGCAGGAAATTTAATTTAGAAAAATTTTTATTTGAAACTTTTTTCGAAAAAATGGTTCTTCATTGAGATATTGGCAGTTTTTGATTAAAAAAACGCAAAAATCATATATGTATACAAAACTTATACAAAAAAATCAGGATGTAAAGGGGATTCTTACAAATACAATTTTGTAAAGAGAAAATCAAAAAGGGCAGTTCAAAAATGTTTTAAAAATACACCTCTACACAGAACTGGAAACTGGTCCACTGTATGATAAAAATAGATAAAAACTTGAAAGAATTTTACAAGGAATAAATAGAATTTTGTAACACCTATTTTATATCAGCAAATTCAACTGCTTTTGAAAATATTATTATTAATTCATAAAATTAATTTGTGGTTTTAATTAATAAAATAATTTGACATACCTGATACAACAACTGTTCAAAATTTTGTCCACCGACGTGTATACTTATTCCCGTCTTGTTCAGTTTCTACGAACTAACACAAATGTTGTCCTGCTTCGACATAACACAAATGTTTCACCATTACACAAATGTTGTCTTGCTTCACCATAAATTAAAACGATATCCATCAACTCCGAGTTGCTTTACACGCAACTCATTTTTCACACTACCAAAAAACTATTGTAAACACTATCGCAACGACGATTGTAAAATTGGATTTCAGTATTCGGAGTCGCTGCGACCCTGTGGCTCTCCACGCGTATTACGAATGACGCTAGAGACTACAGTTGTCCAGCTATGTAATGGTTGAAAGTACTACAACTTCAATAATTTTTTTTCTTGGAAACTATAGGGATTTTGCAATTTTTTTTACGATATTGACTCCATTTCTCATGCTGCATCTATTCTCAAATTTTTTTGGATAAGTTGTAAATCACCCTGTATATGTCTATATCTCAAAACGCTGAATGTTGCGGGTGTTGCCTGTGTGACATGTTTTCTAACCTCAAAATCAACACTTTTCTATGAAATCTCAGAGTAAAAAAGTTTGCTCATTTTTTCCTTATTTTCCTGGACCCTGAATTTAAATTATATTATTTTAAACAAGATGATTTTTTCGGGGCACTTTTTATTCTATTAAAATATATTTTCAAAAAAAAACAGAATAGTAAAAAATACAGTACTATTGTAACTAGAATAATTTTAATTTAACCAACATTTTGCATAAAACAACTAATGAACCAAAGCTTTTACATATGGCCCTAGTACAGTTTCTTGAGGAATAACAATTTATAATAATGTTAACTAAAAATAAATAATTTATCTTACCCACTCGCCAGTCTTTACTAATATTTTGATGTGTCCTGCATTTTAAATAGATTTAAAACTTAACTTGTGTTAACAACAATAAAAGTATTAAAAAAAGTCATTCAAAAATACACTTACCCATCTGCGAATTGTGCGAAGTTTCTACTACATTAATGCGCCTATAAACAGCTGTGGGCCGAGAGCGGTACCTTGTGGTACAGCGACTTCTGTGATACACTTTAAATAACACCTTTTGATTTTATACAGTTAAGTATTCAGTAAGATACTATATACAATAGAAAAAGCACATTCATATTATAGTACAGTGGATTACATGATCTATGCAGTATATTTTCACGAAATTAAAGTGATAGATATTTGTCATAAGATAGTTCATAAGTTGTTCCGTTAAATATATTACAAAATAGTTAAAAAATATATATAGCTTATATATTTAGTAGCTAATTGACGTTATATTTACTCTAAACGTTTCGTAGAAGCCTCCTATGGATTTATTTTGGACAATTGTTTACGATAAAGAAGAAGTTCTACTGCTAATAGTTACAGTATCTGAGATTATAAGATTAAGCATGACTTGGGAAGTATAGATAGATCCTTAAGGGATTATTATATTTTTGAATAAATTAAAATCAAAAAAATTGTACCTCTCACGAACGAATACTATTACAAAATAAGGACAACTGGATAGAACTTTTCGGTTATTTCTCAACCTCAGATTTACAGTCCTTGCATCGATTGTTTGAAAAATTTAATTCTAGTTCAGATTTTGAAGTTATTACCTTAATTAGTAAAAATTTATATCAAATTTATGTCAAATCAATTATTATTATATTCTTTTCTCACTTGGTTAAACTATATTCCAAAGAAAATTGGTATTTGACAATGAATAAAATGATAGTTTTCATGGAAATTTTGTATTTAAATATCGAAAGAGGATATCTTAAATTATGTTTTTTGCTTAACATTTGTATATTGCGCTTTCCAAACGAATAAAATTCCAACTGAACCTTGACAAAAAACAATATCAAATATAAAAATTCTTAAAATGTCACACGTTATTGTTTCCTTAAGTAGACCTTTACAAGTCAATAAAAATAAAACTGTTATATACTTAACAGCCTGCCATATCATGAAGAAATTTTGGCTTCAGTCCAAAGCGTTTTGGTCTTATATGTAGAAGCAGACCTGGGCCAAAATTTGGGCTCAATCCTTCATGACTGGCAGTCCCACATTCCAGAAAATTGTAGCTAGTTTTTTACATCTCTAACGACAAAATTTACACTAGTATCTAATGCACCAAAATATACCTATGTACCTATGCAGCGAGTTCCAAATTTAATCGCAAAAATGTTGTTATTTAATGAGAACCGGTAAAAGAATTTGCTGATGTTTCGAATTTGAGCCATGCTAGAAACTTAGATGCGTAGTGCTTCAACCATGCTACATCAAAATAGTGAGGGATGAAGAGAATAGTTAAATAAAGAACCTTTTTCTACTACCTACCAACATCTTATTCTATTGTGCGATAAATAAACTTTTCACGCACAATTTTACTTCAACCAACGATATTTTTCTCGCCCAGAAATAAGTTCGTAAAGCTACATTCTATGGTGAGAAGAAAAAATCATGTATGGTACTGATACAAAATTAGTTAACTGATAACAAATTTTCATCGAGATCCTTACTGATTTTCATTTTCACCCACCTTATTGGTACTGGAATTGGAAGGAAAACACTGTAGGTGATTGAAGCATTTGGTTACTGGAAACGTTAAAAACGTGCCTCGCGTTTTTCTGCATAGGATCCCCATATCAATTTTGGAATGCGATGAGTATACACACTGACGTAACGTTAATGGAAGCAATACAACCACCGATAGACCTAAGGATTCCCTAATTTTAAAGCACCCACACATTTTCTACATTGAGCAAGAGAGTCTAATGATAGGTCCTCGGAACATCCCACAGCTCGAAGAAATCCGGCGAGTTTTGCTATTTGTACGAAGCTGGACCTAGCCACGAGCAACCAAAGAACTGGCAGCCGGCCAGGACTACCATCAGGACCACCACGATCCCCAGCAGGAAGTAGATGATGCACAGGTGCACCACGGAGAATACGTAGAGGGTGCGATCGCACCATCGATTGGGTTCGAATAGGGTTTTCGGCGCGTAGTCCGGCCACTTGATCCTTAGTATCCAGTAGTTGCCCAGGGAGAACCAGATGATGAGGAACATCGTGAGAGCCACAGACGCCACTTTGGAGACGGCGGAGGTGGTGTTCATCGCTCCCACGTCCAGCCGACGTGTGTGCAGTTGGGAGTAGAGAGTGAGGCCCATCTTGATGCAGCCTACGCCGCCGCCTACGACCATGTAGATGGGGATGTAGGGCTCTCGGGGGCAATCTCGCAGGAATTGGAATCCTGAAACAAAATTGTGGTGTCATTTAAATGTCTCAAACAGTACCGGGTGACCCAAGAATAAATCACTGGAAAGCCACTATATTTTTCTTCTTTTTTTCTTATTTCGGATTAAAATTTTTATCGTTCAGTTAAATTTTCATTGACTTTGTGAAAGTTTAGGTAACTAAATTGCAATGAAGAAGAGAGGAACGACATACGACATTTAAAATTTATTGATTATGAAATTAATTTGAAGTATATCTATCATGGTTTCTGCATTGCATTTCTAATTATCTGAACTTGGATGTTGTCAATAAGAATGTATCTGAATTAAGTTATTCAACATCAGATTCTACAATTTTGCCCTGATCTGTATTCAAACTTTGTATCTCTTATCGCAACCGAGATGCCAGTGGTGTGGCTCAAAATACGGGCACCCTGTATAGGAGAACAGCTTGTGCCATGCGGTATAACAGCATGCAAGGGTCAAGCAAAGTCCAGCATGCAATATCAGTAAATTAAGAAAGTAATAAATAAAGTCTAAATTTCATTGTTCAATACGAGTACACTGATTGTGAGTATTCTGAAATTAATGCGCATTATTTTACCATTGCATTGTACTGTAACAAAAGCCGGGACGCGTGGTATTTTATTTGTTAGTTCTCGGAACGGAGAGGCCAAAAAGTAAAATATTTCAGTCGACACTAATTTATCAGAAAGTTAATGGTTCTCAAGTAGGTATGGCGTTGTCCTTCGGAGAAATTTAGCAATATTTTTTGAACAAGTTACGTCCGGGAGGCGCCAGCGTAGTTGGGGCCAGAACAAAGAAACCCATATTTGTAATAACTCGCGAAACCACGAGAAGAGCGTAGAGGTTCCAAAGTAGTTAAATCAAATTGTGAAACTGATTATAATATTATATTATATATATCAAATTATATAATTATATATATATCAAATAGCTGGTTTTTAGGCGGATTTTCACAAGCTATAAGAATAGATTAAATGAGATCGACTAATCCGTCCCGTAATTGCTACACGGAGTCACTAGAGGAAGGCTAGGGTTACTTGTAAGTAAGTTGAGTTTCAGAATTATTTATATAAATGTAAATTTAGTCCATTAGACAACTATTAGCAAGCCATAGTTATACAGAAACGTCCCGATATTCAAGTCCCCGAAAATAAGATAAGAACAGAAACTTCTAGACCCAAGAAATGGGCGTGTCGAAGCGAGGTGTCGAATTCGAGAAATATCTCGAAATAGCAGTTCTTTCTTAGGTTCAACATTGACAGTCGACTTAATTTTAAAATCTCGAGCTAATTAATTAAATTTAATAACGGATAAAGTTTTTTCCAAATTTTGCTATGAAGCACGCATTCCCTGAATCTCGGTACGCTGTCGCGTGTCAATAAATTAATTAATAATGTTGTTCGAGCCGTTGTATTGTTATTTTGTTTCTTTTATTTATTATTATTAAAACCCTTCCTGGAAGTTTTGGTGTTTCCTTTTGTTTCTCGAACCTCAGTGTCACCCTGTACAGCCTGTCACTGGATTACATTCTACGTAAGCAATGAATGGTAAGTGCTTGAAATTCATTGTCTGAACATACAACATTTCTAAGTTCCCACGTATTAATTAAAGTATAATGATAATTATAAACTCCCTTTCGAGAGTTAAATAGTAAACTCTTTTGAAATCCAGACTCGTTATGATACTGGTCATAACGATAGACAGATAAACTAAGAAATAACCCCTCAGGTTACGCTACTACTGACAAAGAAGTTTACACAATATAAGCGAATAAATCTTCCCTCAGCAGCAACCTCTTCCTCTTGAAAGTTGTTTTTGTTTTCAGATATCTTTGAAAGAATGTCTGGAATGGATATTAACATTAAGTCAAATCGTCAAAAAACAATTTCTATATTTTAACTATAGCGTCCAAATGTGAAATTTTTCAATGTTTGAAACGAAAATTAAAATTTTAACCAATTTTATCCTAAAAATAAAGTTTTGTATCAATTCTATGAATTATATTGTTTGGGAATAAAACTGAAGTTACATACCACAAAAATATCTGTTCTAAATTACAAAGCATTTGAAATTAAGTACATTCAGAAGTATTGATTATTTAGAAATGTTATGTGAAAATTTATTGAATTTGGAATTTCAGTATTGTGTATCGTATATTATAGTATTCATGTCGCTATAGTATAACGAAAAACTTACTTGATAAAAACAATATTTCAAAAAACCAGAAAATAATATTTTTCAAAAGTAAAGTTATTGTTAAATTTACACAATTAATTGTTGTTGTTAACTATAATTTATATAAAAAATACGACCAACTAACTAACAATTACACACACCAACAAAATGTATTTAAAATGTATTTTATTTTAGTACCATTTTATTATATACTCAGTTGAACATGTATAAAAACGTCTAGCAATAAAATTTAAAGAGTTTCATAGCCGTCTCTACAAAAGTTTTCTGCTAAAGGAAAAAAATAATAATTTGTATATCTACGTACATATAATGTGTAGAAAATGTCTATTATATGTTCATTTGGCCAACAACATATTTTTTTTACAAAAGTTATTATAAATTGTCCGCCATATTACGATATTTTTAAATTTTTGTTTTCGCTTCCTCTTTACGCAATGATCTGCAACACATTGTTTAATAAAACGAAAAATTGTGGACTGAAACTTTAGTTAATAGGTGAATTCTATTTATAATTTCATTTCATGTAAATCTTTATTTTTAAATTCTAAATCTGTTTCGTCAACAACCGGTTCTACTATTCAATATTGTCCGGTGGTATTTCGTTTTGTTCCGTTTCAAATGGTCTCCAAAATGCCATGTAGTGATAATATTAGTAAACAAAATATCCCCCTTATTTCTCCCATTCGCAGTAATATGAATAGAAGGTGCCTATAATCAATTAAAATTTCCTGAGTGACACCAAATTCTGCATTGCTGCACTGCACTGCTACGCAATTTGTCAACAACTGAAATTTATGGCCTAGTCGCCCAATGCGGCTGTGTTTATGCGCCGTTTGCCCGCGCGCGTTTTCTTCAACTGGACGGATACATTTCTACCACCTCTACGTTTAGTACGACCGGGTATGGCTAAATTAATAGGGGAACAAATTTTTCACATATGTCAATGCCGAGTTGTTGCGTAGCGACCGAACCTGGTATATGCTGCCTACTCTTTAGTCTTCAATTGAGATCGGAAAGACTATACCATTTTGTTATAGGATACATAACGAATACTAATAAAATTTCATAGTGAATTGAGAAGAAAATCTTTTTCGACGGAATGTTATTACACATGTAAATTTTATTTAAATAATGACTATATTAATTAAAATTACAAAGACAACATACGTAAATACAGAAAGAAAATATTACAATCTTGAGATAATTATTAAATATTGATATCTTTCAGCTTTCCAGAAAATTTATTGAAATTTGTTTTGTACAATTAATCACAACCAATTATAAAGAAAAACTTTTTAACAGTCGGTTTGGAAGTTTTTGAATGTTCTTGTCGAATTATCTGATTTCCAGTATGACAGTAAATTGATTTCTAAATTTCATTAAATAATCTTATATGATTTCTGAAGCGGGGATTCATCTACAAGCAGCTGGGGCAGATACAACCCGTTGTAAAATATCTGATTTCTGCCAGTGCATTTTAAAACTCTCATAACTTATGTTACTCTGATCATGATGACTCTGTTCAATCCAATTCTGGATTAAACTAAATAAACTTTGCATGTTTTCACATTTGCATACGAAAATAATAATAAACGCTCAGCCCTCTCTGCAGAGGTAGTTAGTGATGGCAATTATATTGCATAATGGAATATACATACACGAACAAAATTTTCCGTACATCTAATTCATACGTTGTAACCGTAACGGCAAACTATTATATTTAGGAGAAAATCTCGTTACTACAACGTCTAGTATATTGAATTACCAGACGTAGCTATGCATGGAAATCGGGTTTAGTTCGGCATATTTACATATTATTGCATACTAGCCACCGAATACGTTTAATCTCACGTACAAGCAACTGCAATCAAATTTCCAAGACAAACATAACGTAATTTTGTTTTCTATTAAAAAACAAAAGAAAGAATATGATGTCTTAAAGATAATACGTATCGATCGCTTTGAGTACCATTAAAAATAGAATCAATAACACCAGACGACTGTAGTGTGTAAAACATTTTTTTGTGTGCGCCCTATTTTATTTGATAGATGTCCTATTTATTCAATATTACTCTAGTTTTCATAGTACTCTTGTTACTAATGTTTATTGTTTATATCATTCTTACAAGTGTTCAAAATAGTTTATGTGCATTTATGAAGGAAGACGAAATGCATTAGCAGCATCTCGCGTGTATGCAGTACGTACTAATTTTTAAAGAATTTTGTTCAAAAATGATATATTTAAATTTGACACTAAATTTGAAGTACCTCAGCAATTGTGAAAATCTATCGAAATATTCGTAATCTCTATCACTCTAAATATCACCGTTTAGGCTAAGGTACATTTCATTGGCTAGAATTCACTGTTGTTCTGTGACTCATTACTTATGAGACAACTTGTATTCCTTGAAGGTCCGGAGTTATTATTTTAAATTGTGAAATATTTTTCAAGTGGTTTTCCAGGGGTTGCTACTGGAAATAAACGTAGAACCGCACGAGCATCTCAATGACACTCAGGCTTTAGATTATTTCACCGACTTCAGACCGGCACAACGGTCTCATTTTATGCATTTGCGACAATCAGATTGTTCGTTTTGCGTGCCTGTAGAACTGGGATGTATATTGGTTTCAGCAAGAAGTGCAGCACGGATCTTTCTTAGATATAAAGCTTAGAATAAACTTTAATCTTCCAAGCACCGAGAAACTTTTCTCTAAACCTTACCTGCATTGTGCGCATATGGTACGCCACCATCTAAAAGTAAAGTTTCTCGGTTTATGTTAATGCGTTTCGTTT